AAGTGGTCTCAAACTGGATTATTTCTGCAGTGTGTTTTGGACCTCAGTGATTAGTCTCAAAGGTGGTACAACAGGCTCTGTTTGTGTTGTTTTCTTTTCACTGAGCTGCTCAGCAGCCTTTTGTTGTTTGCTGTTGTTAACTGCCCTCAAGTGGATCTCGACTCATGCCAGCCCTATGGATGAGACATCTCAAAGACCCTCTGTCCTCCACTGCTCTGCTTAATTCCTGCAACCCCTTAATTAATACCCATAGTGTGGCCTTCCTCTCTTCCTCCTTCTCTCCCTTCTTTCCCAACATTATTATTTTTTCCAAAGAGTCCTCTCTTCTCATGATGTGTCTGAAGTACGACAGCCTCAGTTTGGTCATCTTGGCTTCCAGGGAGGGTTCTGGCTTGATCTGCTCTAGGACCCATTTGTTTGTCCTTTTGGCTGTCCATGGGATCCTCAGCACTCTTCTCCAGCACCACATTATCTCAAATGAGTTGATTTTCTATCATCTTTCTTAATTGTCCAGCTCTCACATCCATACATGGCAATAGGGAATACAATGGCTTGTATGATTCTGACTTTTGTGTTGACTGTCTTTGCATTTTAGGATCTTTTCTAGTTGTTTCATAGCCACCCTCCCCATTTTAGTCTTCTTCTGATTTCCTGACTGCTGTCCCCATTTCTATCAATGTTTGATCCCAGGGATGGGAATTCTTTTACTATTTCTATTTCTTCATTATTGGTTGAACTTGTGAAGGTCCTCGGTGGTCATTATTTTTGTTTTCTTTATGTTCAGCATTAAGCCTGCCTTTGCACTTTCTTCTTTGATTTTCCTTAGTAGGTGTTCCAGGTCTGTGAGGTTTTCTGCTATTATTATGGAGTCATCTGCATATTTTAGATGAGGGGTCGACAAACTACGGCCTGAGGACCAAACTCGGCCCGCTGAGGCCTTCAAACCGGCCATGGCTGGTCCTGCTGCCACTGCTATATGCACGCTGCCACTGCGGCGTGCGCGAGTGCAGGGTGCCATTTTGCCTTCCAAAACAGCGCTTGCGCACAGATGCTCACGACGGCGGGTGCCATTTTGGAAGGCAAAACGGCACCAGCAGTTGTGTGCATGTGCTCACAACACCGGCACCATTTTGCCTTCCAAAACGGCGCCTGCCTGCGTGTGCATGTGTGT